GGGGGGGGGGGGGGGGGGAATGGTTGCTTTGAACAGTGGCAGAACCACTCAAATCCTTCTGCAATTTGCTTTTGATTCTTTGGAAGTGCAATTTCTTATAGCAAAAGTCAGATGTATGCCAAGAGTCATCTAGTACCTGGTTAGCATCAGTCATAAAGTTTACATTTCACATCATGCAAGTGTGGTGCATATATTAATCTCTGCCTTGATGTTATACTTGGGCAATTGCATGGACCATCCCTATCACCACCCCCCCAACTGTGCTGGCCACCAAACCACCCTTTCTCCCCTGCCCCCTCTCACCAATGTGTGCCACATTTCCAACCCTGCTGTGCAGCCCATCACCATCCGCAATTGAGAGAGGCATCAAGCTATGTGCTGCCGGTTTAATTCTGATTCATGGGTGTTTGGGTGATTACTGTATGTATGTGTTTGTGTATTCTGATGGGGTTCTGTGGGCAATGCCAAATATGTGTGCGATATGCAGACATGCTTGGGTGGTGGGCTGTTGGTGATGGATTGGGTCTTGCTTTGATAGTTGGCAAAATAGAGTTTGGGTTTGATATTTGCTTGTATAATGGCAGTGGGTGTGGCTAAGAGTTTGATTTTTTGTGTTTGTAAAGGCAGGTGTGACCGTGTGAGTAGGGGAGAGGGTGTTTGGCAGTCGAAGGTGGGGTTCAGAGGGAGCAAGGGTGGTCGGCTGTATGATCTTTCTTTCTCTCGCCATATATAAATTGGCTGAGATGCAATGCTGGGGAGTGCTAGTGATTAAGTGAAGTTTCAGATAATGCAAGAGTCAAAGGGTGCCCCTGAAGTTATTGAAATTTAGCAGGGGTGTGCCTAGTTTTCCCTTTTATTTTGTTAGTTCTTGCACCATGGTCTTTTTGTTTACAAGGTATGAATAGGAGAGTTCAGTGCTATTATGCTGCACTTTCCTTATTGCTTTTATTGCAGGGAAGAAATTATAATTTCAGAAAATAATTACCCGGAGTTCATATATGCAAAATGATGAAAGTTACAAATACTCATGATTTTCTGATTATCAGTAGTTCCATTTTATGAATAAGAGCAAATCAAATGTACAATCACATCTGTCACAGGTAATCTCGGTTAATATTGATCCCCTCTTTTTTTCTCAGTAAAGAAAAGGCCCAAGTAAATATTAACCGCTTGTTTCGTTGAGTGTCCTCATTATCTCTTTGCTTTTTAGCATTTGGTTAACAGACCAACATGAACCCGTTCTGCTTCTAGTTCAGCAAGTTCCTTTTCACTCATTTTGTCTCCATGGCTGTGCAGATAGCATACTATGTTTGGGTTCAGATAGATGAAAGTAGTCAAAATGAGGATCGACAAGGTTTGAGTCCTGAGATAAGGCACCTTAGCGCAGTGGGTGCCGCGAAAGTTGCAGTGAGGAGTATGTCGATGAGTGCCAGCACCTCACAGTCATAGCGATAACTTCTCATATTCTTTCCTGGCTGAGTGTGCTTTTCTCTAATGTATTTTGCATTTTGGAATTGTAATCCAATTTACTCTGTGTGATCTCGTCTAGCAGTAGATGAAAAGCAGAATACAGGGAAATAGATTGTTGTATAGTTAGGTCCCTGTTGAACTCACATTGTCTTTATATAAAGATGTTTCATAATAAAATTGTAAGTTGTGGGTCATATGTTATCACTTACTGACAGCTGACTTATAACTTATATAGTTTGTATGAACTTTGTTAAACTCACATTGTTTAGGTATAAAGTAATGGTAGTTGTGGATCATGTGTAATCACTATCAGTATTAAGATTGGCAACTGTGTTGTCCCTGATATGCTTTGTATGGCAATTTTGTTCCCCTTTATATCAAAGATTCAAGCTATAGAAATAGTCTCTCTGCAAGTGTGGGTTTAGTTTGTATATCTGATATGTTTCGATATTACAATGATGGGAGTTTTGTGCATAGGTCTATGAATAAAGATGCTACCACTTGTGAACTTACTGTCTCTGCAGTGTCAAGCTTTCTGCTCTACCAACCTGCCAAATCCCTAATTATGGGTTGTTCTCATGGTGTCGATCGAATATTGTATATGTAAGCGATAAATTCCATACAAATATTGGGACTTGCTTAGATAAAGTGAACTGATTAGGTACAAATAACATTACTAAAGAAAATATGGTGATTCATGTATTTTTTTTTCCTCTAAATCTGTGTTGAAGATGTTAGACTAGTAATTGAGTTGAGTTACTTGAGTTTGGTTCAGGTTCGGCTCAAATAAGATTCGATTTTAGTTGAGTTTGAACAAATTTTTTAGGTTTAGTTCGAGCTTTAAAAACTTAATTCGTTTATATATAAAATAATCGAATAATTCAAGTTCGGCTCGTTTTGGGCTCGTCCTAACTGTTAGTGCTTGATATTACAAAACTTGATCCCGTTCCCAACTGTTAGTGCTTGATATTATTGGATGGAATTAACGAAGTATCAATAAACAAGAGAAATAACTTGAAGTAATTAATTTAATATTTCTATCTTGAAGTTGTGCTTGTATAGTTTTATAAGGAAAAAAAACTTCTTTGGAGAAATTTCATTCGGTGTTGATAGTGCGTTGAGATATATTTTATCCTAAATATTTTGGGCGAAACGACAAATATACAAATTTTTTTGTTTTAAAAAAAAAATAAGAGTAGAGAGCGAATTTGAGTCTCAAAATGTGAAGAGTCAAATTGAACTCTTTATTTTAGAGAGACTAAATAAAAAATTAGAGATAAAATTTTAACAGTTGACTCTCTAAAATGAAAAATTGAGTGGTAGTAAAGAACTTATTAAAGATACTCTAAGAATCTTCCTTGCATATACGCTCTACCATAATTTTTTTTTTTGTTCCACTACATTAAATGGATATGCAATAGGCCAATTCACATATTTACTAAGGTGCATTATCTCTTAGCATCACAAAGCTATCTATAGGGTACCTCACTACGTCGGGCCTAAAGCTAACGTCCCACCACAAACTCTGGAAACTTAAGAGTAGGTTTAGAGATATAATATGATTAGAAGAAATCCATCAATAACTAATAGAGATATGATAGAATTCAAATAGACCATCGATATCTATGTTATTTAGATAAATATAAATAATTGTAGAAATGAGTGATACTTATCTTTACCATTTGTATTTCTCATACTATAAATAGAATTGAGTCTTTAATAATCAAATACCTTTAATAATATATTAGATGTAATCCATTGGAGGTTAGGTCGATAGACATATTATTGACTACGTATGCTATAATTAGTTGAGTATAGGTATGCTATAATTAGTTGGCGTTTTGTGAAATTGGCATAAATGCAGCATAAAAAGATTTTTGTAATTACTAAGTTGATGTAGAATTTATAAGACTCCATAATCTGCCATGGAATCGATTTGAGATTATTGGGTGGAGATTAATTTTAATGGATTCGAGTCATAATCTTAATTTTAATTTATTATATTTATAAAATATTATTAATCACATAAAAAAAAATTAAAAATTCATATTTTAAGAAATATTATACATAATCTATACATATATGTAATTATCATTTTATTTTGACAAAAAAATACCAAAAAAGCTAGAAAATCATTTTAAACAGATTTTTAAATTTTTTTTAATTTTTTAAAGAATATGGTCAAATGGTTTTAAGAGACTTTTTTAACTTTGATTTTTTTTGCAAAACTTTTTAAATCTCAACTTTTCATCTAAAAAAGTCAATTCCAAACAGACGATATAAGAGTAATGTTATTAGAATCTAAAAATGTGATTTTATTCGCTAACCTAATGATCTGATTTTATTAGAAACCATGAGATCAACACAAACTTTTAACGGAATCCACAGTCAATTTAAGGATCATAATAAATTAGGCCAGCAAATTAGATAAATAAATTAAATTCAAATAACATTAATTATAACATATTACCAACTTACCAAAAAGAGATATATATTTTATTTTTAAATTAAGTTCAAATAGTAACTTGTTACTTTAAAATTTTAGCAACAATGTGAAAAGTGGAATAGGTTTTTTCGGAAATCCCCCCCAAAAAAAAATCTTTTCTGGTGGTGATACAGAATAAATATTACCAAATAGCATCAGTACTTTATTTTCGGATATCCATTCATGCAAACCTCTCTATTACTAAATTACACCCACGCACATCAGTAGTTAATATGAATCATCCAAATTTTACTATTTCATCCCTACCCATTACATCCCAAAAGCAAAAAGAAAAAAACAAACCCTAACCATTTGGTATATATGAAGAAAAATACATTATAAGTCTTTATACACAGACTACTTTCTTCGAACCCAGAAAGCCCAAAGAACACCATAGCAATGGCGTTCAAAAAACTATCTTTTCTCTTGTATGCCATTGCTATTTTCTCTCTCTTCACCCTCTCATCGCAATCTAAGCTTCACCACCACCATAACAGGAAAAGATCCTCTCTGCCGAGGACTATGGCCTCAAAAATGAAAATCTCATCATCAAGTTCTTCTCAACCCCTTCAAACCTCAATATTTCCATCAAACTTGGCATTCGCGAGGGCTTTTGGTTTCAACGTACCCAAAACGGCGCCGTACTTACCGAGCATCTCCGGTGGACAATGGGTTGTTCTACACAAAAGTATAGGCATCTCCGCCATGCACATGCAACTTCTCTACAACAACAAGGTGGTCATCTTCGACAGAACCGACTTTGGCCCTTCCAACCTCTCTCTCCCCTCCGGCAAGTGTCGGTACAACGATGAGGCTATAGCAGTGGATTGCACCGCTCATTCTCTTCTATACGACGTTGCTTCCGATACTTATAGGCCTCTCATGGTGCAGACCGACGTGTGGTGTTCTTCTGGAGCTTTACACCCCGACGGAACCCTAGTACAAACTGGTGGTTACCTTGGTGGTGCTAAAAAAATTCGCTTGTTCTCCCCGTGCAATGACGATGATTGTGACTGGATTGAATTGCCGCAAGACCTAAAGGTTCAAAGATGGTATGCTTCGAATCATATACTCCCCGATGGACGTGTAATTATTGTTGGAGGACGAAGAGCTTTTAGCTATGAGTTCTTCCCGAAGGATTCACAGAAAACCTTGGAAGTTTATCAACTTCCATTCTTGAAGGAAACAACAGACCCGAAAGAAGAGAACAATCTCTATCCATTCTTGCACATTATGCCCGATGGAAATCTTTTTATTTTCGCGAATCAACGTTCGATATTGCTTGATTACGTTAATAATCGTATCCTTAAGGAGTTTCCGGCAATTCCTGGTGCAAAAAGGACGTACCCATCAACTGGTTCGTCGGTGTTGCTTCCTTTCCGGTTAACCGGCGGCGATGGAGCTGAGTTGCCGGAGGTGGAGGTGATGATATGCGGTGGTGCACAGGGAGGTTCCTTCACGAAGGCTGAGAAAGGTGTCTTCGTGGCAGCATCAAATACATGTGGAAGATTGAAGCTCACAGACCCTAAATCCCAATGGGTGATGGAAGAAATGCCTATGGGTCGGGTCATGCCCGACATGCTATTGTTACCTACGGGTGACATTATCATCCTCAATGGTGCTTCGAAAGGAACAGCCGGGTGGGAAGATGGAGATGACCCGGTACTGACCCCGGTACTATACATGCCCAATCAACCCGACAAGGAGCGTAGATTCATTGTGCTCAACCCTAGCACAATTCCGAGAATGTACCACTCAGGTGCGATTTTGTTGGCAGATGGCAGAATATTAGTGGGCGGAAGTAATCCACATGCAAAATACAAATTCAGTGGAACAAAATACCCAACTGAATTGAGTTTGGAAGCGTTTTCACCGCATTACTTGGGACCACAATACACGCTTCTGCGCCCTTCAATGTTATCATTGGGGTCCACAAATAAGGGAATATCATACGGTCAGAAATTCTCAATCAAGTTTACTTTGAGTTTGGGCAGTCAAGGTTTCACCGTAACGCTGATTGCACCCTCGTTCACCACACACTCCTTTGCAATGAATCAGCGACTATTAGTGTTGGACATAGTAGAGGTACAACAGTTATCTGCATTTGGGTACCAAGTTTCTGTGTATGCGCCACCAACAAGGAATATTGCACCCCCGGGATATTATATGCTGTTTGTGGTCCATGATGGAGTCCCTGGACAAGCTGTTTGGATCAAGCTGAATTGATCATATGGTCTTTTTAGAATTCATTAGGCCATTAGGCCGGCCACCGTTTACTTTCACAGAAATGTTTAGGGTACTTGATTAGGGTTGCGTTGCTATTGCAATGAGTAGGTTTGGCTTTCCTTGGGGCTTTTATTTTTGACAAATTATAGTTTACTTGACATTGGACACTATACTTCATATGTCTTGATATGTGTTTCATTGGTACCAAATTTTTGATGTGTGTGAACTCATATGTATTGGTTCATCTAATCAAGTTTCTTCTATCTAATGCGTTCAATCAGCTAATCTCATATAGAGTTTGTAACCGGGAAAAGAACAATCAAACATGACAATAAATTGGTTGGTAAGCCTTAAGTAAAGTATTGCCACTACAAATTACATGGTTAAAGCTGCTGGGATTAAACTTTTTCTTTTCTTTTTTTTTTTGTGTGTGTGTTGGACTTGGACTTGAATTGTGTGGATATAAAATCAAGGACCTTGTCAATAAACAAATTTGGTATTAGAACTCCAAAATTTATTATTTTTGTAGGTTTTTTTTATAACTTTTTTGGGTACTTTTACAATAAAAAATTCATCACTTTTGTGGGTATTTTATTACTATTGTGATAATTATTTATACTACTTTTCTTCAATACAATTTTTTTTTTTTTACCATTTTCATGGGTGATTTTCTATGTTCATAGATATTTTTATCATTTTTGTGGATATTTTTACCAATTAAATATTTTTTATTATTTTTCTTTGACACTCAAAACACACATAATAATATTAAAAATATTCAAAAAAATAATAAATATTGGTATGGTAATATTTTTTTTTTTGTATCAAAGGTTGGTTAAGGTCTAAGGTTGGCAACTTGGTTTAAGGACATTGGTCAGTTGCTGGGCTTTAAAGGGCCAAAATAATTATTACAGAACTGGTCACTTTGTTGGTTTTCAGCATGGCCTTATGAGATGCGATGAATTAACCGATAATTGGCTATGAGTATCGTTTGTAAAACTTATTTGATTTTAAGTATTAAATTTAAATTTATATTTTATTAAGTCTTTTTTTTTTTTATCATATAGTTATCAATAAGTACACATTTTAAAATATTTTAATTTTTTTTTCTAAAATGTATTTCATAATTACCCTTATTATAAATATTGTCTATCATTGTTAGTTTCAATGTTTTCAAATATAATAACTCCTAACTTGAAAATTGTCTAGTATTAAAATTATTTTTCTATATATATATATATATATATATATAGTAATATTAAACAGTAACACGTTCAATACAAAAATAATAACATCAAACAGACATACGTTCAACAAAAAATAGTAACATTAAACAGTAACACACTCAACAAAACAATAGTAATATTAAATAGTAACATATTCAATAAAAAAATTAATTAAAATTTTAATCATTGCAATAGAGTGACACCATATGTGAATATTTATTTTGATGTGGGGGTGTCATTCTATTATAATGATTAAATTTTTTTTGAGGATGTTATTATTTGATGTTATTATTTTTTTGTTAAGTATGTTACTGTTTTGATGTTACGATCTTTTTGTTAAATGTGTTACTGTTTGATGTTACAATATATATATATATACTAGTTATTGCCTGAACCTGAAGGCACATAGTAATAAAAAATAAAAAATATATTTGTATTCATATCTAAAATCAAATTACAAACATAGAGAAGATATAAAGGAATTTAAACATCGATTTATAGTGGAAGTGAGAGGTGGTAGGCGGTAGTGGTGGTGGTAGGAGACGGTGTTGGTTGTGGTGGGTGGCAATGACCGTAGTGGCAGTGGTGGCGAAGATGACAATGGTGGTTGCGGTGGCGGTGGTGGTGGCAATGGCAGTGGAGGTGGTGGTGATGGCGGTGGCGACGATGGTGGCAGCGACGACAGTGGCGGTGGTGGTGGTAGTGGTAGTGGTAGAGATAGTGGTGAGACAGTTTTAAACACTTTTTTTAAAAGTATTTATGAGAAATAATTTTTAAAAATACTTTTAAAAAGTTACTCTAAATACATCTTTAGGGACCTATTTTTCTTATTAAATTTAGGGTGTTAATATTAGCCATTAGATTAATTTTACAGTAAAATTTAAAACGATCTCAACCACGGATAGTAAAAGTCATTTTGTTTATCTTTTGAAATTTGAATTGTAAGTTATTTTATTATATATATAGGAACATAATTTTAATGCTAGAACAATTTTTAAGATATGAGTTACTAATACTAATATAATTCTCAATATAAGAGTTGTTAGTTTTTTTAAACAAGTTTTGTCTAAATATAATTATTGAGGGTATTTTGGACAATTTAGATCGAAATAGATTTTTCCCCAAATAAATTTTTTGAGTATACTTGCACTTAAATAAATCTACAAAAAAAAAACCGGCCTTCCTAAACCCCAATTTTCATCCTTGCCAATTGAACTCAGCCCAAACCAATATAGGCTAGCAAAGGATTTAAAGACCACTAAGTTTAATTTCCGAAGGGTATATTCCAAGCTTATCCAATGTTTAGGAAAAGCGCCTTTAAAATTCTATAGCACCCACAGATTACCCCATGAATGATTTGAACTTTTTTATAAAATTTTACCATTATGCCACTTAAGCAATCAAATGATCTTTTTTATTGTGAAGGGCAAACTAGGAGTCAATTCGAGAATGATAGTATTGCTACTGAAACTTAAAATCTTAATTTAATTTATTGATTTAATGAAATGATAATGACACAATTTAATAGCATTGTTATGAGACTTTATCTCTTGACATATCATTAAATTAGTAAATTAAGTTATTTTTTTTAAATTTCAATAACATTACTCTATTTTCAATACATGTACGTCAAAAAATAGTTATATAAAAAAAAAAATTTGTGAATCTACACTCTACAAAAAGTCGGACTTTTTTGGGTTTTTTTTTGTCAAAGAGTAGAATTCAAGGGTTTGTATTCTTTTTTAAAAAAAATAAAAAATAAAAGCTCTATATTTTTATTAATTACTTCAGATAATTAATGAACAAGAATCAAATGCTCCGCTACAAAATAGATGGTCATTTCTCATGATCAAATTCGTCTTATTATCAAATTTTTAGATGTTTTAGATTTAATTCTTTTTTACAACCCTTAAAGTTTAGTGAACGAAAGGGACATACTCTAATTCAACTTAAATTCTGATAGTCAATCATTAAATTTGAGAGAATAATTAATACAAGCGTGAACACCTTGTACCAAGAAACAAAAAAAAAAATATCCGTCTTATTACTAGCTCTGATATAGACTTTCCTCTAATCAATCCATCCCCATTGACACTATATTAAGTTGCCTTCTCCGAACAGAGTTACCCTCAGTCTATCTCATTGGTGTAAATGAGAAACTGAAGAATTCGTCTGCAAATTTTCAAATAGAACCATTGATGATTCAACCATGACATATCAACAAAGTTTCGAGGCTTGGTGGTCTTCTCGTAACTAAAGTATGATGCTGGGTAATAAATGTTCAAAATATTATATTTATTCTCTTGTGTGATTATATAAAAAAACAATAATAAATAAATTTCCCAGGATATAACTTATCTTTTCAAGTAAATGAAACGAACAAGGATGTGTTTGTCACAAAAGAAGCTGTAGGGTTACTCGTCAATTGTTGTAAAAATGAGATCCATTCATCTAACACCTATTTAAATGGATGATATGTGTTTGAGTTGTAGTTTTTAGATTTTATTTGGATTGTCTTGCATTTTTCTTATTTCTATAGACAATTGTGCATTAATCCAATGTATCTACAACATCTGTCTCTCAAGTGCCTAGCTCCTCCGGCGCCTAGCTCTCAGGATCCAAGCTACGGGCGCCCAACCCCTTAGGTGCCCAGCTCCTCAGTGCCCTCCTCATCTCCATCTATTGGAATGAGCTTCCGGCTTGGTGACCCTCCCATGGGCTAACTTTCAAATTCTGCTCTGCTCTAAAGTAGACATCCTATATTTCTAGCTGAGCGACTCTCTCACAGGTCGCCAAAAGCTTAGTCTATCTCTAATTTGCTTTAAAGCATACAACTTATATCTTCAACTGAGCGGCTCTCTTACGGGTCATCAAAATCTTGGACTATCTTTGCTCTGCTCTCATGTAGGCGGCCTATATCTCTAGCTGAGTGACTCTTTCGCGGGTTGCCAAAAACTTGATCTATCTCTGCTCTGCTCTCAAGCAGACAGCCTATATCTCCAATTGAGTGGCTCTCTCGCGGGTCGCCAAAAACTTGGCCTCTACTATGCTGTCAAACAACAGTCTATACCTTCAGTTTAGCGACTCTCTCATGGATCGTCAAAAGTTCAATCAGAAGAGGTGTAGCTCTCTCACGAGTATTCTTCAAACTTTGTCTTTGCTCTCACGCAAGCAGCCTGCCTCTCTCTCTAGTTAATCATGTTAGATATTTTGATGTTGAAATAACATTATTTTTGCCATCTCTAGGCACGTTTTTGAAACTCAGGTCATCTGTAACCCGTGAGACTACATTGGATTGAATTGAGCCTCATCCATCTGGCACCACTGCCTCATTGCTGCGACACTCCTGCTCTTAACACCTAGCACAAATTAGACTTGCTTGTACTCCCAACACTAAGGATCTGGTACCTGCTCCTGGGTACTAGCCCATACTTCTGGCACCCAGTGTCCTGACGCCCTTTTAGATGCCTTGCTCTTAGCGCCCCCTCTTGGCACCCAGCCTCTGCCGCCAAGCCTGACTCGTCCGGTGTTGACAGATTCGCATTTTGCATCGCCCGACAGCACTACTTGCACACTTACCTGGCCACGACCAGCATCTGTCAAAACCACCTGAGGGCTCCCCTGCCTATGCTTGTCCTCAAACAACGCTCCTCCATCGTGATTAGCAAAATCGCTAGCCAGCGGCGCCTCATCCAGCGCCAAAAATAGGCAGAAGATTTCTTGATGATTTGAAGTTAGAGATTCGATTGACCAGTTAAATAGGTAGAAGATTTTTGATTTTTTAAGAAGATTCAGGCCAAAAATAAGGTTAGCTTAGTTCCACTTTTCTTTATATTCTAAGTTATGCATCGAGTTATGTGCGTGAAAAGCTTTATCACTTTTTCATTTTTGTTTTGTTTTTGTGGCATAGATTTGTTGTTTATTGGCTTAGTGGACCCACCACTAAGGATTTGTATTTTAAATATTTGATTTTTTTGGGTTTGTGGTCATACCAACGGTTCCATCTGTGGGTATGTTTTCTAGTTTATGGTCCTACCACATGTTGTATGGTGATTTTGGATGGGTAAAAAGGGATAGAGATTTTTCCACTGTTTTGTTTATTGTATTAATGTACATCTTTTAATGCAGAATGGGTTGGGACAAATTTGTTGTTGAACTACATTATGGGGGAAGTTCATGTGGACACTAAAAAATGTTTACAAAGGTGGTACTGTAAGTATTATTAAAGAATGCGAAGCAGATAAATTTTTTTTGCTTGAGATTAAAAACATGTATGTATCAATAAGAGGAGAAGGGATGAATCTTGACATATATTATAGGGTTCCTGGGTATAGTTTAGACATGGAAGTAAAACAAATGAGGTCAGACTGTGATGTTATTGAGTTACTAAAATGTTATGAAGACCTGCCAGTAATATACATTTACAAGGGTGATGATCTATCGTCTGTGTTATCACCATATTGTGTTATCACTAGATTGTGCAAGGGAAACTGTGATGTTATCCACTGATGGTGCAGCCTCCCTTGATGGTGTTGCCTCCAATGCTACTGCTGCCTCTATTGTTGCTGCAGCCTTCAATACTGGTCTAGCCTCTACTGCTACTGCTGCCTCTAGTGCAAATATAGCCTCCACCACTGGTCCAACCTCAACTGTTACTACCTTTAATGCTGCTCCACCCTCCACTGCTGGTCAAGCCTTAACTGCTGGTGCAGCCTACACTGTTGGTCGTAGGAGTGGTGCAGTTGGGAGATGTTCTGGGAGTGGTGTCATTGACAAGTATATCCTATAAAGCATGGATACGGATACGAGATACAGATAAGATACAATACAGCAAAACAAAAAAAAATAGGATACAGATACGGCTAGGATACGTCCATAAAATATATATTTTTTAAAATTTTGTTATTATATTTAATGTAATAATTATAATTTATAAAGTGAATCACACATCTACCAAAGATATTTAATAATTAGTTAATAACTAACCATTCTATCATTCATAAATCATACATTTTATATCACATACATATTGCATAATATCAAGTCCATGCTTAAACAAAAGAAACCATCCGATTACAAGTCAAGCAATAAAAAGCTTGCAATTTGGAATATTATCCTATTACAAGTCAAGCAACAAAACCGTCCCTCTTATTACTAAGACGTTTTCCCAAAATTATCTTCATTTCTATCCCCTTCATCTTGGAATAACATAGCTTCCATCTCTGGCTCATCAAGTGAAAGACTTGCAACTTCAAGCAACCCAACACTCTCCAATGAATCAAATGCATCTCCATCAATGTCCCATAGCTTTGTATCTCCTTCCATGTATTGTTTACTCCTCCTCGATAAGAGACGAAGATTGTTGTGTACAAAAACCAAATCTTAGGCACAAAGTGGTGCCATTTTTGTTCCTTTTCATGGAAGTAATGAAAGAGTAAGTACTCCAATTTCTTTCACTGTAAGATGAGGAACATGGTTCACCAAGTAATTTCAATGCTAAAGGTTGAAGCATTGGTGCAAGAGACCCATGAGAAAACCACCACATGAGAGGGTCCATTAATCCTCGATGTACTCTTGAATCGTGCTCTCCAAATTGATCCAAACAACTAGAGAACTTAGCATACTTAGTATTAGCCTTCATTCTCCCTTGTGGATTCGAGAAGTATCTGTGAAAACATTTATTTCTCATAGATGAAATATCTTCGTCCATGTGAGGAGGAACACGATTGGGATTTTCATTTAGCCACTGTGCACTATAATACCTATATTGTAATATTAGAAGATATCAAAACCAACTCGATAACAAAAAAAAAGTAATTTAAGAGTAAAAACTAAAAAGAAAGTTGTCACCTTGGATTTAAGAAATGTGCAAGACAATGAAGAGGTGTGTTACTTTTAGCTCATCCCTCAACTAGAACTTGATGTACCACATCAAAAAAGATTGACCTTGCATTATCTAGCTTCCCTTCATGCCTATATATAGCTGTCTTCACCTTGTCAATCATTGTGTCCCACATTTCATAAACCAAATGAAGACATGGTATGTCTGTATCGCAAACCCTTAACATCTCATAAATGGGTAATGTGAAAGAAAGTATATAATCTATCTTATCCCACCAAATGTCACTCAAGATGTTTTCCTTCACAAATGCCGCTTTCACAACATCATCTTCTTTGTAAGAAGACCATTTCTCACTAATTATCATTGCTTGAAGACCATACTTGATGAGTTTAAATCTTTTCATCATTATAATAGCAGATGCAAAACGAGTGTCTGCAACAGCAAGCAACTTCAAAGGCACAAACTCATTGAAGATAAACAACCTCAAATAATGATTCATGATGAAATTTTTGATAGTTACTAAATCTCTAACAACTTCTATAATCCAGTGACATTCCTCATAAGTAACTGCATTCTTCTCAAGATTTTTTGCTACACAAATATTCTTAAGGGCAAGATTCAATGTGTGCACTACACGTGGGGTCCAGAAGATATGTTAGAACTCATTTTGAATGATTAATCTGACAGAAGGACAAACATGAGCATTATCAGTAATTACTTGAACCACATTTTGAGGTCCAACTTCTGTAATTACTTGATTGATTAAGTTCGCAATATAAAACTTATCTTCGATCTCACCTTCGCAGTTGACAACTTTTAAGAACATTGCCCTAGATTCTGATGCAGCCATGAAATTGATAAGAGGTCTTCTTTGTGAATCAGTTCATCCATCTGTAACAATGCTCACTCCCTTTTCCTTCCATGACAATTTAGTTGGCTCCAACAACCTTTCTACATGTGCCCTTTCCTTTTGAAGTAGTGTGGTCCTCAATGCATTGTAACCAGGTGGTACATAACCAGTAATTAAATTAATGATAGCAAATGTATAAGAACTCACATAATATGGGTTCCTAGCTAAATGAAAAGGCAAGCCACCTGAATAGAACATTCGTGTAATGTGAGAGTGCAATTCTTCCCGAGTACTCAAGTTAAAAGCTTTCTCCAAAGTACTAGTTTATGCTGCCTTCTTTTTTCTTGGTTCAAAACCTTCCATTCTAAGTGTTTCAGTTTCTGATATCCCCATACTCCTAGTTATAGGGGCTTCGAAAGAGGAAGGTGGCAAAGGAACTTTCTTTGGCATAGTTATTTTAACCCTATTCTCTACTTCTTCAATTAATCTTTGCATCTCAATAAGTTTTTGGGGAGTCACTTTAGAGCACACTTTAAACCCCCTGACCAGAAATTTTCAATAAATGTGCCTTCACACGAAAATATGATCCACTATACTCATTCCGACATAAATTGCATTGCAATCTAGTATTTTTACCTCCTTCCCCCTTTTTTTTTTAATTTAGTAACAAAAGCCCAAAGTGGAGAATTATCATCTTGAGTGGCGCTGCCACTTCCACTTCCACCAATTGAGCCCATACTTTCTGTACCCGTACTCATTCCCCTATAATTATTAATTTAATGAAATAAATCAGCAGTGCAGTAAAATTTAGTAATAGTAAAATTCAAGGACATCCATCTTATTGTGCATCTAATTTTTTGAACTAGGCATTAGACATATTATGTATATATACAGAAACTTGGAGTCAGTTCTTGGAAGAATTGATTATGTTGAACCCTAGAACTAGGCATTATGTATATATATTGTATATGTATAGTTTTTTTTTTTAAAGCAACAAGTAAAATTAAAACTTGTTTTCATGAATCAATGTATTTCATAGCCAGAGACAAGGGAAACCCACGCAATAAATATGTCACAGAAAAAAAACTTTAACATATGAGCCAAGTTCTCATTGCATTTGGAATTACAGTCTACTTATTAATCAAAGAAGAAGGCAACATCTTAATCAAAAATAATGGAATTGAACGCAGATAGCAAAAAAAAAAAACTCAAGGCTCAAAAGGAGATACCCGATATTGCTCTAAAAAAAACAATCAATCAATCGTCAGAGGTGAAAGAGGAGATACTCATCGTCGATCAGTGTCAAGCATAGTCAATCGATCGTCAGTGTGAGCGAGAGAGAGAGAGAGAGAGAGGGAAGGAGAGAGACGATCGTTGACTGAACTAGGGGGGCTGTGGAATAAAAGAAGATAGGGTTTCAAGTATTGATATATATATATATATATATATATATATATATATATATATTTGCAAATAAGGGCCTAAATACATTTGTTCTTGTGCCCTTATACTTTTTTAAAATTCAAGTAATACCCTGTCGTATCCTTATACGTATCGTAGGCGTATCTCACTCGTATCCAAAACGTATCCGGTCGTATCTGAAAATCAATTTTTTTTAAATTTTAGGATACTTATCAGCCGTATCCGGTACGTATCCGATGCGTATCCGTATCCTTTTGAAGTATCCATGCTTCATAAAGTATATCCAACTTGTTTAACTTGCTGGGAATGTGCACAAAATAAGCATATCCAACTTATTGGATAGAATTAGGGCTAAAAAAAGGTCATAATTCAATCTGAATATATTTTTGTCTATGTTATATCAAAAGAGCCTTTTGGAAATATGTTATGTGCTCTTTTAATTGTATTGAACATATATTTCCTTTTTGGTTATATGAGAAAATGGTTGTGAGCATTTTGCTCTTTTGGTAATTTTTTGTACAACCAACTGATGGTTGTGACTTGTTGGAATTTGGTATTTATATTTCCAGTAATCCATAGATGTTTGTGACCAAAATGTCTAATATTGTGTCAAATGGACATTCCATTAGATAAAACACCTTCACATTACATTAAATACAAAGTAGTCCTTCAAAACATAGACAACATGTTTTTAGTTCTTGCTTAAGACTAAAACCAACACTGCCAAACAAATTACAAGTACAATAAATATTCTCCATAGCGTAGACTTCATGGCCTTCTGATCAGACTACATGACCTCTTGATTAGCTTCAATCATCATCACTCTATTACTTATTTTTGCAATTTCATCATCATTTGGAATAGCAGACATACCAGTCGAGATGCCTAAAACTGAAATGGGATAACATCATGCCCAAAATTCACAATTTTTAGTCCCGCAAACATAATACAATCTTCCCTTCGACGGAATCAACCACTTTGATTATCGCTTTACGCCCACACCCAAAGATTTGGGTATTGAACCTCAAATCCATAGGCTCCTCTCCCCTGGAGTTTCTCGAGTATGACATCTAATTATAACAAAACATTATTATGAGTTATTACACACATTTTAAATGAAAATAATTAGAATAAGAAAAGCATAATATTTATCATAGTAATTTATTAGCTATTATATTACTCAAAACACATGCTTAAATAAATTACTTTTTTTATGGTAGCTTCCTTCTTCTAGCTCCAGCAAGTAGCAGTACACTAGCTCCAGAAAGCAGAAAAGTCCCACCTTCCAAAGGAAATGAAAAGCTCAAGCTTTTATCATAGTATTAGAGGGTCATTTTTTACATTTGTGTATATTTATTTTGGAGGGAAACTAATTTCTTCGTTCAGCAATCGCCAAACTAGTGCGTCCACTCCCCTTCCGTTTGTTCTGATAGAAAACGTGAGAGTTGCAGTTTAGTTCATAACCACAGGGGGGTGATGTGCATATTTCCAAATCATAGAGCGATCATCTGCTCAAGGCACAAACCACGAGCGGATAAATTGAAATTTGCCCTTAATACAAATATGAGTTAAAATTTTAATGTAATTGGAGAGCCAATGTAACTCATGATTATAAATTGTCAACTACGTACGCCCTTCAACGTGATCGGTTTGGGGGGGGGGTGTCCACAAACGA